CCTAATGGCTATGTCCACGATCCCGGTCACTATAACTCTTACATAGTTAGTGTCATCGGTTCTTTCGACTATCACCTCTCTATCTTCGTCCCTAGTCCTCCATTCAGCCTCTCCATTAGTTGGGATGTTAATGGCTTCACCATCCCACTTTACCATGAGAGCATCAACTTTGTCATCCCATTTTGAGACCCTCTTTGCTGCAATGACAAGGGTGTGAGTGTCAAACATCACTGAGATGGCCTGAATCCATGTGAAGTCACGAGTCCTTCCTTGTGGTCGAGTTCCGATGAAGTGTGCATTGATTTGGAAATTATCGTCTGAGACAACGGCAAAGTTTCCTCCCTTGGCTCCATGGAAGTAGAACATGACACCATCACCTCCAATAAACCTAGGGTCGTAGCAGATAGAGCCATACCCGTCACAGTTGTTTCTTCTAACTGCAAAAAGGTTAGCACAATCGAGTTCATTAATAAAGAGTTTTATTTGTAGCACATTTACTGACAATGACAAATTACTCGTCACTTCTTTATTAAAGGGAATTTGTAACACATGATCAATAATGTAACCCCAATAGTTTTATTGTGAGTCAAATCATTGCAGAAACCATGCGTATACTATATCTATCATTCTTGAGACAGCAAATTAAAGTGACTAAGTAAGGAGGCTTACCCTTGCAAGTGACTTCACAGCTGCTACCGCAATTAACAAAGCAACCCTTTTCTTTCTTGTTGTTTTTGGGCTTTCTTTGAGGGCATTCTGGTGGGCATACGAGGGTCTTGTAGAAACAAGCCCCTAGTGCTTTGCACTGACATCGCTCCTGTCCGGATTCTAGTGATGGCAATACGTCGTAGTTTGTACTATCACTAACTCCATTGCCGCTATTGCCATTTCCGTTGCCGCTGCCATTACCATTTCCGTTGCCGTTTCCATTCCCGTTGCCATTTCCATTGCCACTACCATCAGTGTTGCCATTACCATTCCCGTTACCATTACCGTTGCCACCGCCGGTGTTGCCATTTCCATTCCCATTGCCGTTTCCATTGCCACTGCCAGTATTGCCATTACCATTCCCATTTCCATTCCCATTTCCATTGCCACTGCCACCGTTCCCATTGCCATTGCCATTCCCATTTCCACTGCCTTGGCCCGAGACAAAGGTGGCTTCCATGGCAACGAGCACCACAAAGAGAGCCACCAATATATGTGACACTCTTATTTTAGCCATTTCTAGCTACAGTCTGTTTATCTTCTCCTTCTGTTGATGGACTAATAATTGGCTCTGAAAGGGAAGGAGATAGATGTGAAGTCCAAGGACGTTCGACGGGGTATATATAAGGGAGCATTCAAGATCACCAGGCGTTGGGCGGCTATTATTTTATAGCTTTATTTGGAGACTTCATTGGTTTTTACCAAATGGATAGATAGATAACCGTACACATCCTCCTTTTTAAGCACCTGAAGCTTTGGTATTTAGCTTGAGTTTGTAGTGACGACTTGGCACGACTTTTTAGGATTGTAGTAACCCTCAAATCATGCAGGCTTCAAATTTTAGTGGTGTGCTATTTTGCATAGCACATCATCATATCTTACGGCTGCCTCAAAGTGCTTCAACCGAATATTGCAATTTGCATGCATACATGCATGAAAGATCCATTAAAACTTATCAAACGCCAAACACCAATTAATCCATATCCTTCACCTTATGACCTAAATATATTCCACATTTACCTTGACATTTGTAGGAAGAATTTTTATTCGTCTGCCGGATTCTCTGCATACTCTCGTAGTATATTATGCGTATGGTGCTTCAATTCTTGTGAGAGTCTAACGCAGTATGACAAGCTTACCATTGCCAAGGCAGTTTCATTTTGAAGAATAAGGGTTTTTTTTCTTCCTTTGTGAATTTGGAGGGTGGTCCCTTGTGGTATTTTTGGGTAAAAATTCAAAATCTCGCATGAACAACATACCGATTCAAATGTTAAAATTATGAAATTCAATCATAGTATATACACATATACAATGTATATACCAATATTTGTTATAGAAAAATCCGTATATATATTTTACAGGTATAATACTTCACCGCTACAAAATCTGCAGTAGTTAAATTTATTATACCCAACTAGTAAAATACTCAAAGCTAGTCCTACGCAAACTGGTTTTTTCATGGTAAGGAAAGGGTTTTTACGACACAAAACTACATAAGAAGACAGTGGCGTAGCTTAATGACATTCAGTCAACTGGTCAAAGGACTTAAGCTCAAAAAGGGAGAAAATTGACCCAGTTTTGCAATCACACAATAGAATAATCTTAGCTAGGAAATTTATATAATTATCTATTTTTGTACAAGTAATTTAAATGTGAAATCACTACTTAAGAACAAGACTCTGCCAGGAAATGCTTATTTTGCACTCATATATGCTACTAATTTATTTGATTGGTGCGTATCATATGGACCTTAACGTAGAATAATATTGTACTACTATTTTTGTTAACGGGTGATTTAGCACGGCCCTAGAGGGTATATGGTCAATCACACACATTACACAGATTTAGAGTGGTTCAC